ATCGACATCATTCCGCCCCCTTTACCACGATTTCCATTGCAATGTGGCTTTTCCAGAGTAATCATGCAGCTGTTCTTCCATCTCGTCCTCTATTTCTTCATCTGCCTGCTGGGAATCCTGCCATGCCTTTAGCAACTCATCCTGAACGTCGATTTGCTGCTGTATAAAGCCTGCGGCATTGCACCATGAATCTATTCGGAGGATCTGCTCAGCGACCTCTTTGAAGTTCGTCCTTAGCTGATATGCATCCTTGAGTGGACCATGCATATTTTCATTGGGCTTGGTGTCGTAATTCCGGGATACTCCTTTTGCCAGAATGTCATCAGGGAGATGCCGGGTGTGAATGTACCTTCGGAAAGTTCCAAGACTTTGGTTTCTCGCTAACTGTTCGAGTGAGTTCTTGGTACTCCTGATATGATCATTCAGCTTCAGGGGACTAATTTTAATTAATGTAGGGACTGCTTCACCTTGATCAGCTTTCCAAATTTGGTGCTTTCCTCTCAGAGAGCCTTTATAGAACTTTCAGTATGAAGAGTAAACCCTGCATACACATTGAGAACAAGGTAGCTACAGATGCACTTCAATAAATGATATCCATGGCTGTCCTGTGTCTCGCTGAGTATGTTGTGTGTGACAAATATAATTTGCTGTGTTTATTGTCATTTAAATATCAAACTAACACAAACTCGGCTCACCTTTGATAGATCCTCATACTTAGTGCCATCGGTGAAGGTAACTGCCATGAAGCCACTTTCAAAATGATTCAAATCCCTCCAACGAGGAAACTTTTGAACTCTAGAAGCATTGTGAGTTTAATGAGGCGTCACTCATGAAAAGGAGCTTACTGATTATCAGCTTGACTAGCATAAGCATGTCCAAGAGCTTTGATACGACGGACAAGTTCTCCTCGAAGATGATGCCCAAAGAGACCATCCTGAAAGGCGTGTAGCCTATCCCAAGAAAGGGACCGGAATGGATCACATGCCTCAATAGTCCAAAAGACGTTCTGAAAGCCAAAGGTTTGTTACTACACTTCTCATAATGGGAAAAAAAAACTTACGTCAATGTTTCGCAGCCCAAACTCACCAAGATAATCATCCCACAATTCCTGGGTCCTAAGTCCTCTGGCCCTTTGAAGAATTTCTCTGGTACGTTCAGAAGTTCGGAGTTCATATTCCATCTCCAGATTATATTGTTCTAGCTTGGGAACTAGGCAAATTGGACATGGTGCGTCACCATTAACGCCTCGTATCAGAACCATCATTGCCCTAATGATGGTATCAATACATGCTATGCAAGGAAATAATGTGAGGACTGACGCTTCCTCATAGTCGCATGATAAAATAGGAAATCGTGGAAAGAGTTGGAGATCTCGTTTTGCAAGGGAAAGGTGAATCCAAGCCCCAAACCTACTGGGATCAACCATTGTTTCCAGAACATACTTCATCGCCGTATGCCATACACGACGCTTGAAATCAACATAATATTTCTTTCCGGTATGTTTTGGATCCTCCTTTATCTGCATTTCATTGATTCAGATTCAAAAACATTCTAACAGGATGGAATATTTCAGACCACTGGCAACCAACCAACAACACGTCCACCGCCAACTCCTTTTCCATTCCGAATGTGAACGGGCAGATTTCCACAACGTGCCACTACTGGATAACCTTGTGCAGTCCCAAATGATGATAGACGGGTTTTGTCTGCATACAGGATAATGTACAATGGCTTTCCACCCTCTGGCAGGGCCATCTAGAGAGGAAAAAGAGATTGAATAAAATGTCAGGTAGGTTAGAAGGTTCGTACTCACTTGGAGATCCCAAAATGCTTGGGCGGTCCAAGGTTCATTGACAAACCTTTCAAATGTGGACCCATTCCACTTTGATAAGTGGGTAGCATCCCAAACAAAATGCGGCTCCAGTGTAGAGTCCTTGACAAGTTCTAGTATCCAGTTCCATAGATTCAAGTGATAAACGTCAAAGCAAACTTTCCCTTGTCGAGAAGCTTGATAGAACAGGTATGCTTTTCAAACTGTCATTGATATGTTCAGCAAGATCAACAGTTAACAATGATCATACTTACAGGAGTAACCAAGTTTGCTGCACTGGTCCCAGCTAGTTTTCACATCCTTTCTAGTTTTGATATCTGAAGGAGTAAGGTGTGCCTCATCTAGTGCCGAGGATTTCAACAGCTTGAAAAACTTGTCCATTTGCCTTTCACTAAGTGCAGCATCTAGGACAAATTCTGCGATGTTAAAATCCCAACGGGATGAGAAGGGACACCAGGGACATTGATCGATCGGAGGATCAATATGTTGATCTGCTGCTTGGGACTGGTACTGATCAAAATGGTCAATTATGGTCGCTTTACCACTGGATGGGTGGAATATCATTTGGATGTCATCAACTTGAAGCTCTGGGTCTCCGTTCTCAGCTTCTGATGTCACAGGACTATCGGGTATGTCCACAAAACTATTGGCTTCATCAACATGAGAATCTAACAAGATGTCACCATTAGAAAACACGCAGTAGAAAATTATTTTACTCACAAGCATGTGCCCAATCATGATCTGGAGATCATCGGTTAGCTGATGTTGTGGAAATGTCCAGCTGAACTTACTCAAGCTGTCAGAGACCTGACTATCAGATACGTATAAAGATTCATGCGTATCTCCTAGTGTTACTAAAATTATAGTTAGACTATTCGCAACATCAGGCAGATCAACATACCTGATGGAGAAACACTTGACGTAACGTAGGTCGGTTGTAAAACTGCTTTCTCAAAACGTGTATCGGCGACACGCTGGTGCAAGTCTCGCTGACAGGAAACCTCATGTCTTTTGATACCACGGTGAGAAAAAAGGCCACCACAATGGCTGCATGAGATCTTTGGCTTGGAGGACATGAGTATCGATGATTTCTAACAGCTTAACAAAGAGAAGGTTTATATAGCTGAGCAGCACTTGTGCAAGTATAGAATCACTCCATGTGGTTGCAAAATTTCTACATGTGCATCTGTGATGCGTCGGTGAGAGCATGATGTCAATAACTTCACATTGTCTCCTCATTTCTTTCATCTAGAGTGGTCTAGCTTGTCAGGCCTAATTGCCTCGAATATTAAGCGATAGGTCTAGAGTTCCTTCTTGGATGTCGAACGGAAAATTGACTTGATTATCTCAGTAGGTTTGAGTACTTTTTTCTGCCTCGTGCAGCAGGCTTCAGGAAATACGTCAGTATACACAGTTCACCGTGTGTCGGTGGTGCATGCTCCCATTTACAATGTTTGACAGATCTGAGTAAAATCCTCGCTTAAGGCAATAAGATTGACAAAATTTGTTGACAAATATGCATATTACTACTGAGTTGTTGTAATCGTCGGGTTTTGCATGATACTGTACTCAGATATTGAGAGTTTATAGACCTTTTTACCATTCTCTGCTTGCTTGTACCATGTGCACTGCATGCGGTGAATGAGACTTTTCCACTTTTCCCCCTGTCTAATGATATAACACTACTGATTTCCTTATTTCAAATACTCTTGTCTGGTCCGGTCATTACGACAACATTGACAGCACAGCAAAAGTACCCTCGTTATCTTTGAAGCCCAGTTAAAGCTGGCCTTTGGTATAAAAGCCTGTCACAATGTCATCTGAATTGCCAGTCTTTCACGTTATCATCCCCATTCCCAGCATCTTCTGGTCTCCTCTCATTTCAAGAAGTTGTCGTTGCAGAAGCGATCTGCGTACGTGTTGGGTGTGTATGCTACATGATGAATCTTTGTGGCTCTGATGTTGTACTATCTAGTTTCCCACATTTATATCTATAATGGCATTGGGCTCAAACTACCCCCATGGTCAAAATAAGTACGTCTCTTTTCAAAATAACTGTATCGTACTTAAAGCTTAAAACTTGCTATTAGCAACCAATCAACAGGCAATGCCAATAATGTGCCTGACTGGCACATGTCCAGTCCAGGGCCTAGCTCTCCACAACGTGGGCAAGTCAGGTTATCTCGTCTTTATTGTTGTGATTACTCATAGCTCAGCAGCGCTGTTTCTGCGAGCCCAGGGGAGACCCTGTTGAAAATCAGTAAGTCAATTGAAATTTTCAATCTGCGTGTCAGACCTTGATTATGCCAACACAGATGCTATGGTCCAAAAGCTAGAAAGAGAGATAGGCAACATGGAAGTAAGATCGTTATTATTTTCTAATCTAGCGAGGCATACTGATAGAGTTACAGGATAAACACAATGAAGTGTGTCATAATCTGTCAGCCCTCACGAACAGTTTAAACTCGTACTTGATCGAGATCAATTCTAAGACGGACAAATCGAAACGGGAATATCGATCAATGTCGCAAGATATCCACAGCATAAAGAGTGGGATTGATGGCCTGTCAGGCCTGATGCAGCGCCTCGTTGAGGTGCAGGAGGAGCAACTCGGACAGCTCAACCATCTTGTCCAACACGCACGAGGGCCTCAATCCACCTCTCCCGGTTTATATAGTGGTCCTGGGTCTCCCGGTCCTGGCCAGGCTGGCCCAAATTCTATGGGCCGATATAGTCGCAATTGAGAAGGTGAATATTTGAATCTTATACTCTTAACTTTTGTTATTGATTTTGCGCTCGTTAGCTACCTGGACCTTGTCGGACATTTTTAGCTAAGGTCTTGCCATTTTTGGGAATAGGGCAGCCATTGTTAGGGGGGTTCATTCTGATAATGTTCATTGTCATGTGACTGTATTACTTAATAATTTCAGTTGCCTTATTAGGCTTTGACACTTTTTCTGACAGAATCCCAAAAGAGGATAATGGCACTTGAGCCTACGCGTGCCACGAGTCAGCTCGTCTCAACCATGTCTGCCACTTTCCACCACCATCCTGCAATTCTGCTCTGTCACTGCGCACGCCAGCCCCAGCCAGCCCCTTCCAGGACCGCCGACTTCCTCCTCAGGATCACGAGTCACGAAGCCAATCAAGTCAGGCCAGTCCCAGTCCAGCGCGCCAACATGCGCTCTGCAACGTTTACACGCCGCCGCCTCCCGTACCTCCATCACACCGTCAACCAGGGGGTGATCTTGTTCAACAGGAGTGATGCTCCTTTGCTTATAGATAGTATATCTTAGCTAGGTTGAATAAATACTCTTACTTTTTACTACAAGTCCTGTTGTATATGATTTAAATCTTCTGTAAATTGGTAAAATTTCGTCCTAAATTCAGCATTGTTATAATTCCTACTAAGTCAAAATTTTGAACAATGAGTGGCTTGCACGCGTGGAGGACCGAATCCACGTGGATAGCGCCTCAGCCGAACCAGCTCATTGCGTGACTTCCTTTTCAGGTCGTCACATCACGGTAACGGAGGGCGAATTTGAGGCAACTGTCGGCGTTTATCCTCCCACCACGATTGAATTTCAGAATTCCCTCCTTCCTCTTCATGTATTCTCTCCTCTCATATACTCATCTCGGTCAGGACTTGTACTTGCGTTAACGCGACAGTGCCGGTCCGAGCCGATACAGCTCTCATACTTTTTTCACAGACACCTCCATCGCCAGAGCTTGGAGGGACGTCTCGTTCGTTGCCCGACCTTCTCACCTGCACACACACTTTGAAGACGATCGCTATGCACAAGTAGGGGTAGGCGGATGTTGCTGTGACTGACATCGTGCAAAATAGTGCTTAGTCCCGACTCTGCAACGCTGTCGGCTACAGGGACAAGGATACTGTCAATTTCCCCGACGCCAAATCCCACTACCAACCGTATCCAAGACCGCAGCTTTCGCGACATGAATGACTTCTCGCCTCCCAACTCTCCATGAGCATCACTCGCCAGTCTACCCTTACTCCCAACAATCTCTCCAATGAGACCAAGCAAGGCAACCTCCGCCGCCTATCGACCCCGGAATGTTTCGTAACATTACTTCGATACGTCGGCTTATCGACAAGGCAGCCGAAGTGGGTTCCATGCGCGGGAGTTCTGTAGGACTTGGTGGGAGCCCTTGGGCAGCTGCTCAGATGCTGGGGATTAATCCCCTGTGAAATGTTGGTGGTAATGGGGGGAACGTCGCATTGTCTGCGATACGTATCCACAGATTGAGAGCACTGGCGGTGCAGAAGCTCGCTCAGACATACAAGGCGGACAAGATGGCGTCGAGCGTCATGGCGATGCAGGGTGGTAGTGTATTCGATGGTGTAGCCATCGTGAGGCTCATGGTGGCTTGGTCAGTTAGTTGGTTGAAGTCAGCGGAGGCGATAAGTGTAGTTCAAAACACGTATATGCAGGTTTTGGGGAGAGTCATGGAAACCATCGTGTGTCTTTCTTTTCCTTCGCATTTGGGTCCGAAGAGTTCATATTCGTATTGTGCGTAGCTACCTCACACGCTGAGATATCCCCACCAGACAGTTCCGTCACCACGTGTCCTGCAAATCATGATTTACGAGTATTGGGTTACTGGTTGTCTGGATGGCCGATGGTGCTCTGATGCTGGGTGAGGCTTACTACGATGGCAGTTCATCATGATATGCTAATATGTTGCTGTTCACCGGCAGGCTGATCCACGCCGAGCGATGTTCCTCCGCATATTCAGCGTCGCCCTGTTTACGCGTTCTCGCCCTGTGAACTGTTTTCGGGACCCAAAAACCAAGGTGAGAGCCGATCTTTTGCACGCAGTCGACGATGTTGATGAGGAATATCAAGTCAAAATGGGTTTGGGTCGTTCTAAGTTTTCGACTCGACGTTCACTGTTACATCATTGTAATCGCTCCCATTCTAAAATTGTTCTTCCACTGACGAGGTATACCTACGACGGCAAATATGATGCATTGCATTCCCTCCTGGCAAAGGACCATATATGAGATTAACATGGCCAGTCACTTAGGACTATGAATACGCTCAGAATCTTTAAGCTGCGACAACCAAGATGGTTTTCACTCTGATACCTTCAATAATTTCTCAAACTCGTTTCGAGAAGTTGATTTACACTTCTGGCGCTGTGATAGGATCTTCCTGGGAGTATCACTTTGCCTTGTTCTCGGTTCCCTCTAGTCTATGTAGGACATGAAAGATCAGTTGTGTCGAGTGACAAAGCTCTTTTCCTCTCCACGACAATCATGTTCAACAGAATTGTGAGTCACTGATGCATGTTGCCAGTCATGCAGTCAACTGACGTTGCTGGACATCAAACAGTCCAAAGATATGACCGGCTCCTTTTTCGCCATGGTTCTTGAGCTTGAAACGCTGATTACTCCAGCCCTCGGTGGCCTGTTGTCGTACACTATATAACGAAAGGTGTGCTACGCTACCATATCTCCAGTGACTGCCATTTGCTCATTATTCTGTTTTAGCCTAGATGGTTGTTCAGCCAGATATCCCGCCCGATCTCGCCGACACCGATAAATTATTCATGTTCCAGCTCCTAGAGGCTCAGCTTCATGGCAGGATGCTCCTCTCTCTTTTACACGGTGCCCTTTCATTTAGCGGCTAGATCATCGGCCAGGTCTAACCACAGTCGCATTAGGTGTATACACTGGAATCGTCGCCGTTACGCTGTGGAATATCTGTGAGGCGAACGTGTCTGCTGTGTTTTTGCTAATATTTAAACTGATATGAATGGTACAGTCACAAACAAGTCCCGGCCTATTGGACGAGTAATGGTCATCATTATCATCCTTCTTTATGTTTCCACCACCATCGATGCAGCCCTGGTTTGGTTATTCGTGCGCTCTGCATTCATCGATAATGGCCAAAGTTTCTTTACTGCATATCGGGCTATCACCAACCCGGGCATGATACCTGGGGCAATGGGTACGATGGGCTGTATCAGTATTGTCCTTGCAGACACCGCCATAGTAGGTGCAACTCCCCTGGCAACGTTTACCACACTAACCAATCACCCAAACTGCAGATTTGGCGCTGTTGGATTGTCTGGGGACGCCGGTGGCTGATAGTTCTACTTCCCATCCTTCTTCTTGTTTCCACTATCGGTGAGATCATGCTAAATTTTGACTTGAGCCAAACTGTTCAACGCCTAGTGCAGCATTCAAAATTTATACTATATACAAACAGTATACCATTCCCGACGGGTTCTTCATTCCATTTTTTGTGATGTATTCGGCTTTCATTCTTGCTTCGACACTATGGTGTACCCCTGCTCATCATCTACCGCATTTTCACCGTTGCGCGAGTAGGAGGTGAAGCGGGGAGCACATTCAAAGCATACCGCTATGTCATCGAGGTCTTGGTCGAATCGTCAACCCTTTATTCTGTAACCTTGATCCTATTTTTGGCTTTCTTTGCCTTGGATGACCTGACAATGATCTATTGTGATGTTCTAGCAGGAATTGCAAGAGTACGCCACCGCCTCTCCCTCTATCGGAGTCTTCGCATCTAACAGACTTTATACAGGGAGTTGCACCGACACTCCTCGTTGGGCGCGTAGCAGCAGGTCACGCTCGGCCAGACGACTCCTGGCAGGGAAGCGTGATATCAGGCTCGCTACGCTTTGGGACACCAGCTGGAAGTCGGAACCAAACGAGTTCTTCTATCCTCCTCGATGATGACTTCGAAGCTCAGCGGGAGAGGGACGATGAGCACAGTCATCACGCACCAATGGAGTAGCAGGAAGATGCTGCCGTCGAGAGCGTCATACTGCGCTAGATAGGCCCGATGGAGATACTATCCTGGTGTTTGTCGTATAATGATAGTTCTGTTCCCCTCGTCCTTTCTTTACCCATTTCCTTCGCTCGTTCTTCTGTTTCCATGGGGAAGTACGTACCTTAGAGTTATTTTATATGTCTTTCTTTGTTACAACAAGCTACCGAGGTTGCTTGATTTACTCTTATTTACGTAGCCCGCATACCACAGCTTCTCTTATCGATCCTGCTCCGTATTCTCACCTTGCCTTTGGAACACTAGCAAGAAATGGCCCAGTTCTCCCCCTTCTCGCTGCGTGCAAACTTTTTCTTTGATCTGTATGTTGATCTAGACAATTCTTAGAATGTCCGATCATAGCGGCGACTCCGAGTCGAATTAACGTGATTTTTTTTACCAGAAATCCTAGATGCCACTGGCGATGAGCTGAAGGGCAAGAAATGTACTCTTAGTCTTGGGGCATAATTTGGAGGAGAATTGACTTCTGAAGCTCTACGTCTGTTTTGGCTTCAGCGCGATTTCTCTAACCGTACGATTCACATCACATGTTGGTTCCATCTGTATGTTTCATTTCCAAATCATCTCCGGATACCGTATCCGACTGACTTTTATTGTCTCAGCATCCATAGGCATCATTCACCTCTGGATTTCTAGCATCAGCAAAAGAAACTACTGCATCTCCTGGCGACCGGACATCCTTGCTGGGCGCAAGGCCAATGAAACATGAATCAAAGATGGCCGCTAGGCTCTGCTCCAGCGCTCTTCAGTCATCAAGCGGAGCCTTTTGGAGACTTTGATGATCATTTTGGTACCTCCGGTGATCTGGTATAAATACTAAAGAAGCTCTCTTGATCTCTATCAATATCACCCGTCATGTCTCCTGATATTGCTCCGACCATGGGAGCGATCTACATAGGCGCTACGGTGGCTACAGCGTGTGTTATTACGAACTTGTGCCTTCGGCTTCTATGTTTACGATGATTGTTCCCCGCAGGCTTTGGGGAGTCACAGCCATGCAATCAATGACCTATTTCAGCAGATTTCCGAATGACTAGCGGTTCTATCGTTTCGCAGTACGGCATATCTTTTATTTCCTCTCGTCTCATGATTTGATTTTTCTAACGAAATAGGTTGGCCTTCTCTGGTACGTCGATTTGTAAGGTTACGGTATCCCAGCATAATGCGTTTTCCAGGATCGTTGACACCCTTTATCTCATTTTCTATGCGCATGCTCTCTACTACTATCTGATCAAAAACTTTGGGCATCCCGAAGCACTTTCGACTATTGTGTGGTACGTTCGCCATCTCTTCTTGCCCCCGATTTTGACTTGGAGGACATTCAAGGAGCTTCAAGGTGATCGACTACGCGTCTATCAACCTATTTGATTATCTGATGCGTTCTTTATCAGACAGACATCATGTTCTTGGTATACTGATTCGTTCTGGACACTGTTCCCCACCCACTGACTTGGTTCGTTCAGGGCCTGGAGATCCTTCTCGTAGATATGTACGCTCTCTCATCGTCCGTCTGGCCAGCGCTAACCACTTCGTTGTAGTGTTTATGCGGTGAGAATATGGATGTGTGCGTGCGCCCATCAAGTTTCCTACAGAACGGTACTATAACTCAGTTGTCTTTCTAGTAGGACGTTTCTTCCATAAGACAATCCCGTGGTTGGTTGTGGGTCACAACATCTCAGTTGTATGGAACTTCAATTCTGATTGAGATTCGTTCAGGCTGTTGTCATCGCAGGCACATCTGGTAGGCCGCCGTCAGCTCATCATAGTAGAGTCGGTCTTACACAGCCGCTCTGGTTCGGTAGCTGTTGTTATCAGTAAGTCATTCCGTGCAGGACACATACTGGATACTTATCCCCGTTTTCATGCAAGATGAAATCCATGCTATGTAAGGCCCGGCCCCCATCTGCCCAGTCATACTAGCATACTCAGCCTTGCGACTGAACAGATTTACGATCAAAACTTACCTAGACGCTGAGACGGTCTCTGTGCGGAAATCCACACCTTTATTATCTCTTTCCACTCGCTGAGGTAATAAAGCAGAAATCGATTGAAGCACTCTTGGCTACTACTGCAGGGGTCGACATCATCATATGCGGTGCTATGTCATACTACCTCCTCAAAAGCCGATCAGTTTAGAACTTTTCCAGGTTGGTCCCCTCTCGTCTAAGGTTCGTAAAATGCTTACAATCCATGCAGGACGACGAAACCGCTCCTTATATTATCGCGCTTTGTTATTGTGTCTGGATTGGCTACTACGTGAGTCTTTGTCAGATTACCTCTGAAGTGTGGACTGACGGCCATCCAGTATATGCGCATTGACGATTCTTATTACGGTTATTACACCTTCTTCTTGTCATGTATCTGACAACCTGATGCGAAGACCCTATAGTTTGTGTCGATGCCCAACTCACTCGTAGCTGCGGGAATCGCGACACCTCTACCGAGAGGTATTACTTCCATTTAAACGTGGGCTCCTGTCCTTACTAACACTTTCAAGTTTATCTCAACTCACTACTAGCAATGTGCGTAACTCTATTTCAGTGCGCATCATGGCTTACGCTTGCCTAGGCTGAACCTACGAAATACCCACCAAGAAAATATCGTTATTTCTACGAGCGGTGATGGCAGGTCCCTACCGAGTACAGCTTTGGAATCTATGAGATTCAAAGCTCGGAGTACTGTGACTACTGATGTACAAACTCAGGAGCAGGTAAATACTACCCCCAATCTTTTAATCGGAAGTGGAAGCCTCATAACCTTCTTTCCAGGACATCAGTGCACCAATGGCCGAGCTACGCTCCAGTAGACCGTCAGCGGAACAGATGCATGTACCAGATATAAAAGCTCGGACTCTGGATAGTCCCTGTTAGGTTTGAATGTCCTAGACATAGATTGGGATCTTGTCAATCTACAACAGGTATTAACCTAGTCAGAAACGAAACAGCCAGAAATTCGAAGTTTTCCTTGCTGTCGACTGAGGCTTTTGACACCATCCTTGGGAGGCTATTCTCTGTCGTCACATTGCGCGACTACCGAGTACGATGAAATTATCTTCGGGTTTGACTGTCCGTGTATTCGAGGTGCTCTGGTTTGCCTGTCTCATTCATATTCAGTTAATGGAAACATACATTTCAGGTAATAGAAGGAAGCATGGCGCCCGAGATATGTACTCCTTCGTCACTGATGCAATACTCCCAGTGGTCAACAAACACTCAGTAAGAACTGACCCTTGCACGAAGTAAATCTCGCCAGGTATTATGGAGCGTCTTCCTCCAACCCCAAAGAAAGCTTGTAGCTGTCCAGAAGAACTGAATAAGAACTTATTAAGACCGAAGGTTCAGTACACGCACGTAGTCGAGACATCATCCTGCGTGAGCCCCGTAAGGTTCCACGGGATACCATTTGCGCCAGAAACCGTCGCCGCCCTATCACATACCAATTAGAACAACCAAAACCAATTACACTGCAGCCTCACCTCATATACATCGTCGTATTGAGCAAATCCAAATATTTCAGCGGGACGATTTCGAGCGAAGCCAGTGCGCCCTGGGTAAGCAACACGTTCTGTATGGTCCCAGAATCCGCATGGCCAAAGAAGGGTATGACAAGGGGCTGGGTGAAATTGTAGTCCAGAGCGGCGTATTCGGTATTGTTGACACCGGCTGAGGCGACAATACGGTCGAGAGTGAGCTCGGCAGGAATGAAATTGGTGACTAGGCGAGTTTTACAGGATGGAGAGGAAGAATGAGGGAAGGCATACCGGTGAACGAGACGCTGCATCGAGAAGTGATTAGTAAGGATTGAAGACAAAAGGATGCGACGTACTCGACGAGATTATTGACGAGAGATTTCAGCTACTTGGTGTCAGTTACATTCCACAAGGTACGGTGGAAGAGCGTACACTAATGTCGACAGTGATATTAGAGATGGGACCGATACTCAGCCCGTCGACAAGGTCTCCTGTCGACGACGTTGGGGTGCCAGAGGCCAAGGCGACCAGAGCGAAGAAGAGGGAGCCGAACAACATCGGGCACGGACGGGGAAGGCTTGCATTGGGGGCATCGAAGTTATAGGGTCGAACGGCGCAATTATTCTGCAAACGTGAAGCTGTGAAGAGTCAGCGGAAGAAGAGAATGACAAGCATGTGGCCATTTCGGAATAAGGAGGAGACTAGCTGGAGAGCAGATATTGCTTCTTGTAGACGGAACATTGATATGATCCCCCGTCCATCAATGATGTCCCCAGTCGGCAAGTCTCTCGATGTGAGAGCATCCTTGGCCAAGGCAGCATTCTAGGAAACCGGGCAACATTGGGCGCGGAGGGAGAGTTGAACATATCTCAATTAGAGGAACCAGGCGCCTCTCCTAGCAGATAGCCGTTTCGTACTGATCAAGAGGTGGGAATGATTGGGAAAGAGACTCAATTGATGATCTACATTTTATTAGTCGCATCGAAAACTGACGATATTCGGGATTGCCCAGTGTGGTCAAGCCGATTGAAAATTTGTTTGTGCTCCCCAGCTTTTGCCTGTTAACAGTTGCTACCCCAAAGTACAAGACGGAACCTATACGATCAAGAAGAGAAGATATCATGATCAAATGGCACAACTGCATGTGACCGCGCAATATAGTGAGAGTCTAAGGAAAAGCAGGGAAAAGCTGACGGTTAATATCTTAGCACCCCATATCATGTTCGGCAAATCCATATGCATTGCAGGGTTGGGTATGTATGTGTAGCGCTGTCCAAAATAGCAATAAGGATAGCTATATGTGATGCAAACGTTTCGTGCCAGACGAAGGAGAGTCATCCAGTCTCCTCTTCCTCGACGGACAGGGTGTAGTAGTAAGTTGTTCAAAAGAGGGAGGTGTCTGCTCAAAAGATATGGAATGAGATGACGCGACAGGTGTACGTAGCTCCTCGTCGTCCAACGGTCTGGCTGACGTGGATATAGGCACAGGTACAGTGCTGCCTGGCTTCCGGCTGAGACGACCGCGGACAGTCGAATCATCTGCACTGTTGGTGGAGGTTTCCTCGTCTTCCTCCGTAAATAGGCCTTTGACAGGCGACCTGGACCGTTCGCCGGTGCGAGGAGATGCATAGTACGACGTCAGGAACGCGGATAATGACGCTGACGATACACGGACTGTGTCTTCTGCGGAGCCGATGGTGGCGTTCGTGATGGAAGCGAGAGCAGGTGGCGAGGGCGATGCAGGAGGGCGGTCATTCGAGGTGGTCGTCGTCGTTGTTTCCTTTGTCGCCACTCGCTTCATCACCTATACTTGTTCTAGTTATAAAATTCAACTTCATATGGAACATTAAACGTACCTGTATGCGC